TATATATATATATAAATTGAATGAAATTTCAGTTCCCATTAAGATACAAGGAATACAAATCAATTAGTGCAATCCCAATGGACTCTAGGAATTATAAAAATCATCACAATTTACTCCAACTGTGACCCATATTTATATACGGACCGTATTTTTTTAGCACCAAATACCATTACAAACACATACGCAACACATTTAAACAATCCAAATACCTCCAACCAAGAGGCAAATTCTACCAGAACTCCATTTTTAATAGAATAGACAGAAGCAAATCATGGTCACTACCTCATCAATACCCCATTAACAATAAAATCTGTGAAATTCATATCAAAAGTCTTTATAACATCTATTCTACAAACAATGAAATAGCTAAATATCTTGAAATAAATCGTTCCTTCAGCAATATTGAACCTGAAATAACCCCTCACTTATTCTTCACATGTCTTGTAACCAGATCCTTCATGAAAAGCAATAGAGCAGTACTTTTCTGAAAAATGAAACTATAGTATAACCCTCTATGGCAATAGCATTGTCTATCATTAGCTGGGCTGCTGCTGGTAACTTCCATTATAGATTATAGAGTTAAGCCTGTTTTTCACTGTTTAGTCCCGTTTCTCTCCTAGACATAGATATAGACTAACCCTAACTCCTTTAATGTTACTAACTGTATGTGCGCTCTTTAATCCTTTTTTGTACGACAATTGGCTCAGTACGGCTTAAATATTCTGCTTAATTGCTCTGCTCATTTATTTCTTTCCTAGAGAGTGCCACAAATGGAGCTGTTTACAGTTACTTTTTCTAACATAGAAAGTATTTTGTGATCAGTGCTTTTATATTCCTTTTGCATGTATGCATGTATAAGCAGAAGGCCACTAATCTGCAGTCAACGACAATGCAATCAAATGTCTATGGTCGTAACAGGATCATTCAGGAGGAATAAAACCTGCTAAATCATTGACTCGATGCAATCAGCTGGGTTTCTAATGTAGAAAACATTTAACCAATCTAACTGGATGATCTGATTGAATTAAAATGCCTTGAGATGTCATGTGTTGTAAACTGGCTCTATATAAATAAAATACGTTCAACTGAATTTGAGTGTTATCCAAGTTATTTTATTGTTTTTTTTTTAAGGCTGTAGTGCTAATATTACAAGCACCATTCATGTGCATTTCCAACTTGTAATGACATCTAAAAGTATGTCCGAATTTAACACGGCAAACTGGACTTCCTTCCCTTGCCAAAATAGGGTTCTTACTGCTGACCCTACGAAAGTAGTAGGAACATGATCTACAATTTCCTATATTCATTCAGACGGCTTGTTAGTTTACCAAAGATGCAATTCAGACTTTTTTATTCTGCTGCGTGAAAGCCGA